GTACCATGTGCATATCCGGTGCTCACAGATGTCAGAAGAGAGAGTCAGATCCTCCAGAACTAGAGTTACAAGTAGTTGTGTGACGCCCAATGTGGGTGCTGGGGAACCAAACTCCTCAGGTCCTCTGCAAGAGCAGCTAATGCTCTTAACACTGAACTATTTCTCCAGCCCCTTATTTTGGTTTTCTGAGAGAAGGTCTTATGTAGCTCAGGCTGGCCTTGAACTCTCTGAAGTATCCAAGACTGGTGTGAACTCCTGATCCTCCTGCCTCAACCACCCAAATGCTGAGATTATAGGCAAGCAAGTGCTGTACCACTAAGCTATACCCACATCCTTTTAATTTTTTTTTTTTTTTTTTTTAGATGGGAGTCTTGCTATGTTTCCTAGGCTGGTCTTGGACTCCTGGACTCAAGTAATCCTCAACCACCCAAGTCCTGACATTATACCAGTTGAGCTTCCTCAGACTTGAACCTGGTGAGAGAGAGAGACATCTAGGGACTTGTTACCTCCACTCCAGCTGCAGCATCCACAGCCATGCGAGCCACTCACAGAAATATAGCCTCATTGCCTTGTTTAGAAGGTCACTAAAATTTCACACACAAACATCTTTGAAACAACTCAACTCATAACTATAGTGTATGTTGATGAGTTTTGGCCAGCAGTTAAAAGTTTGGCCATCACTTTCTATATTACTTTTTCATGAAGATTCATGGAAATCATGACCTGCTAAGTATAACTCTAGGATTGGGGAAATAAACATGACCTTGTGTTCAGTACTCTTTGACTTACTTGAAGAAACTTTGTAGCATACTATCATGATATGGAGGCTTAGTCAGACAAGATAGAGAACTGAATCTGGGGAATAACAAATGTCTTATGATTTATTTTTTTTTAAAAATAGGAGCAACCCGGGCATGGTGGTGCACACCTGTAGTCCCAGCACTTGGAAGGCAGAAGCAGGCGGACCTCCATGAGTTCAAGGCCAGCCTGGTCTACATAGTGAGTTCCAGGACAGCTGGGGCTACAGGGAGACCCTGCTTCAAAAACACAAAAATAAATAAATAAATAAATAAATAAATAAATAAATAATAGGAGCTAGGGAGATGCCTCAGTGGTTAAGAGCAGTTGGGACTCTTAAAGAGAACCCAGGTTTGCTTCTCAGAACATGGTAGCTATCAACTGTCAATATCTCCAGTTCTAGGAGATCCAACACCCCCTCTTGGAGTCTGCAGGCACTGCATGCATGTAGTACACTTATATATGTGCAGCAAAACACTCATACACATAAAAATAAATAAATAAAACAAGCAGAACATGGTGGAACACACCTGTAATACTGGCACCTGGAAGGCAAGGCCAGGCAGATCTCTGTGAGTTCAACATGGTCTACATAGCAAGCTCCTGGCCAGTCAGGGCTACATAATAAAACCCTGCTGCAAACAAACAAGAACAAAAAAACCCCACAAATAATGTACATAATCATTTCGGGAAGAGGTGAAAACCTTGTAGTTTTCTATATAGGTTTCAAATATAACACTGATTTTTGTTCTGTTAAATCAGCATATTTGATAAGGTGAGAAGAGTGAAACACTCACATGGCCAAACTGGCCATCTTTATACCAGTTGTTAACAAATATCTATCTCCAGCTAAATCCTAAATGCCCATTTCACAGAAATCTTGAGCAATGAGGTTACTTGTGAAATTTCCAAAAAGACAAACATGGAGTATTATCATTTTTCAAATTTTATTTAAAAACTTTAGCCAGGTGTGGTGGCACACACCTTTAATCCCAACACTCAGGGAGGCAGAGGCAGGCGGATCTCTGTGAGTTCAAGGCCAGCCTGGTCTATATAGTGAGTTCCAGGACAGCTGGGGCTACAGGGAGACGCTGTCTCAAAAAGACCAAAAAGAAAAAAAAAAACAACAACTTAATATGCATGGGTCTGGAAAGATGGCTCAGCAGTTAAGAGCACTGGTTGCTCTTGTGGAGGATGTGGGTTTGGTTTCCAGAACCCCCACAAGGCAACTAACAACTGTCCATAACTCCAATGCCAATGGATTCAATGCCCTCTTCTGGCCTCTGAGGGCATTGCATGCACAGTTGCACTTACATGCAAGCAAAACACATAATTTTTTTTTAATTTAATATGCCCACCAGAAAAAGCTTAGAAAGGGACTGTAGTTAGATAGGAATAACTTCTAACATTCTATATCACAGTAGGACAACTACTGTTAACAACAACTGCATAATTCAAAATATCATTAGAGAGGATTTTCAATGTTCCAACACAAACACATGATAAACACTTGGGGTGACAGATTGGATCCGATTGTTATACACTATACACATGTACTGAAATGTCACACTGCACCCTAAAAATACAGATAACTACCATGTATTAATTACAAGGCTGGAGAGATAGCTCAGCTGTTAAGAGCACTGGCTGCTCTCGCCAAGGACCCAGGTTCAGTTCCCAGCACCCACATGGTGGCTAACAACCATCTTTAACTCCAGTTCCAGACTGAACCCCTTCTTGTGTCCTCTATGGACATTGCATACACATATTGCACTTACATACATGCAGGCAAAACACACACATTAAATAAATAAAATTAATAATCTTGAAAAAAAATTTTAAATTATAGTTGTAGAAGTTAGGACTCTTGTATAACACAATAATCAATAATGACAAAAATAAGTCATGTAATCTCATGATTTTCTTTTAATCTGCAAATAGTATAATGAATTATTTTGATATACTGAGCTGGGTGTGCTGGTACACACCTTTAATCCCAGCACTCAGGAAGCAAAAGCACTCTGTGAGATGAGGCAAACGTGGTCTACACAAAGAGTTCCAGGCCAGCTGGGGCTATAGGAAAACCCTGTCTCAAAAAATACCACACACACACACACACACACACACATACACACTAAGACAGACTGAAAACTCTATGTTGGTAAAGATGTATTTGTCTTGCTGATTGTTCTGAGTCTCTCTGTCTCTGTCTCTGTCTCTGTCTCTCTCTGACTGAACCCAGAGCCTCAAGCATGCTAAACATGTGCTCTGTCATTGAGCTACACGTCTAACCCCACCAAATCAGGCAGAGTACAAATTTTTTTATTGAGTAAATGAATGTATGAATTTTAGATTCTACATAAGCCTCGACTTTCATTCCTTCAAGCACAAATTGGGCAACTCTAGTTCTTAGTTGGTGCTCTCTCCACCCACCACCTTCGCTTAGGTGCTTGGCATTTCTCTGATGGTCTACTGCATTACTCTCTTCACTGGGCCTCCTCCCTTCTACACTCAGAATGACCCTTGTCTCCCCCCTTTCCCTCCCTTGTCTTCCTGGAAGATCTACCCTGTCTACACTGGTGCTCTGCCAGACTGTCACAAGCTTGGCTCTTTCATGTCTATCAGACAGACAGAGTCTCCCTTTAGGCTCTTTTAATCTTCCTTTGTGGAAAGGGCCCCATCCATGCCACCAATCTCTATGACTGCAGGTGTTCTTCAACAGATCATTAGCCATACTCCATCATTTCTTGTTGCTCATTCCAGGCTTATTGATGTATTTCTTGTCTTCTTTCCCACACGACATCCAGCAGACCAGGAACTAATCTGTTATGTGTACTTCTCCCCAGTTTCTAAAACAGTGCCTGGCCCTTAGTAGACAGTTCATAAATGATTGGTGAGTTTGAATCAAGTGATTAAATAAATGAGCCCTTCAAGATCTGGCTGAAATCTCCTGGGTTTTGATTTTCCTAAGGAGGAGCAGTATCTTGTGCCCCACTGCACTCTTCCTTCCATATCTCTCTCACAACACTCAACAGTGTCTCTCCTGATTGATATGCACACCTCAATGGCAAGGACGGGGTTTGACTCGTCTATGCATGACAGTGCCCAGGACAGTGACTGACAGCACATGACAGATACCCAGTGAACATCTGCTTAGTGAATCCAGCTTGGAGGCACATACCTATGATCCTAGCAATGAGGTGGAGGCAAGAGGATCAGGAGTTCAAGGTCATGTTGGCTACACAAGTTTGAGGCCATCCTGGGCTACATGAGACTTACTTGGGAAGGAGGAGACTGAGCCAAAGACTAGCTGTCTTTCTCCCAATTTTACTGCTTCTAATTCTGGGCTACTATAAGAAAACCCCAGCTGTCTATGCAAATCACAAAACAAAATAATACAAAACAAAGACTAAAATTTTATATATTTGGGGGTCTTATTTGTTGTTGTTGCTATTGTTTATTTTTGAGACAGGGTCTCCCAGTAGCCCCAGCTGGCCTGGAACTCACTATGTAGACCAGGCTGGCCTCGAACTCACAAATCTGCATGTCTCCGCCTCCCAAGTGCTGGGATTAGAGGTGTATACCACCATGCCTGGCTATAACTTTATATTTTGAAATAGTGAAAGTGTTTTTATCAATCTGGGTTTAACCTGCCTGCCTCTTTTCTCTCCTACATTATACAAAAGTCTTTCACTTTCTAACTTATAACACAAAATTTGGTGAGGGGTGTGGGAGTCTCATAAACTAATGGAATAATTATTTTTTTAGCTGTATTATTTTTAATTGTATGTATACATGTGTGTCCATGTGGGGGTATGTGCATGTGAGTGCAGCTGCCCATGGAAAGAGAAGGCAATAGGCCTCCCTGGATCTGGAGCTACAAGCATTTGTGAGCTGCCTGATGTGGGTGCTGGGAATTGAACTTAAGTCCTTGAGTCCTCTGCAAGAGCAGTACATGCTTTTACTGCTAAGACATCTCTCCATCCCCTAAGGGTATAATTTCTAACAATATACTCATTAAACAAAAAATTCTTCAGTAACACAATTGGTTAACTGACCCAGTTCATTACATGGAACTGACTTGAACTTCATGTCACTTGTTTATGATGGACCCTTGAACTATATAATTCAACATACCAATCATGACACTCAGGATAGCCAGAAGCCACTGAAATGAAGGAAACCTAAAGCTCTATACTTACTTGCTCTGTTGGGAACAGGGTATTGATATATTCAACAGCATTGAAATCCGCTTGATCTAGAGGATCCTGGCTTGGAAATACCTATATAAAAACAGGGAGTTACTGAATAAAACATCACGTTAGACACCACTAATATATAGTTGTCTTTTTTTTTCTTCGAAATGAAAAGGAAATTGAGTTGACAAGATGGCTCAGTGAGTAAAGGTGCTTGCCATACAAGGCTGGAGACCTAAGTTCAATCCTCAGAATCCATGTAAGGTAGAAAGAGAGAACAGACTCCACAAAATTTTCCTCTTACCTCCACACATGCACCATGACATGCCCACACATACACATGCACACACACAATAATATTAAAACAAGAAAATAAAATTATAAAAATAGGAGATTCAAAATTCTGTCCTGTGCTCATTTTGGTTTTTTATGCATTCTTTCTTTTCACCCTATTAGATGAAAAGTTACCTGAAAATAAAACAAAAGAATCTTTTTTTCACTTTATGTTTTACAAACAATGGATACTCAATGAAATAAACAGATGTTGGGACACAGAGGAGCCAAAGAGAAAGCGAGGAAAGCCATGAGAAGAAAAAGCTAGGATTTGAGTGATGGCTCTTCAAGCCAAGGAGCACGAGAAGCACCAGCCACCATCAAAGCTGAGAAACACCACAGAAAGGCCTTAGTCTCTGGTGGGAGCGTGGGCCTGATGACGCTGTTTTTGTTGTTGGTTGGTTTTGGTTTTCTGAGATAAGGTCTCGTTATGTGGCTAACCTGCAACTTATTATTTAGCCCAGGCTGGCCTCAAACTCACAATCCTCTTGCCTCAGTCTCCCAGGTATTTGGATTATAGAGGTGTACTCCTACTAACATTTTGATTCAGATTTAGACTTGTAGATTACAGAACTGTGACAGAACAAATTTCTGTTGTTTTATGTCAAAAGAAAGTGAGAGGTGGGAGGGCTCGATAAAATGCCTATCAAAGTAAATCTTTAATTTTCAACATTTAATGTATTAGCACAATTGTGAGACGGTGCAAATGCGAAATATTCCACAGATCAGTGAGTTCCCAAGATCAAGGAAGTCAATAGGCACTGTGTACAAGTAGATAACCCATGACAACATGTTTTTTTTTTTAATGTGCATGAGTGCTTTGCCTACATATATTTAAGTGCACCCATGTGTGCAATACCCGCAGAGGTCACAAAAAGGTATCAGACACCCTGGAACTAGAGTTATGAACTGTTGTTAGTTGTCATGTGGGTGCTGGGAAAAAAACCAGGTCCCCTGCAAGAGCAGCCAGTGCTTTTAAGTACTGAGCCATCTCTCCAGCCCCAATAACATGATTCTGATGAAGCCTTGATGATATGGCTCAGTGATGTTTCAACAGCAGAATTCACTATGCACTGAAGCAATATTTATTCACTAATTATGTATTTATTTACTTATAGTTAATTGTGATGCCACAAAGCCTGTAAGTCCAGCACTTTAAGGTAGAGGGAAGAGGATCAGGAGTTCAAAGTTATCAACGTCAGCTATGTAGCAAGTCACAGGCTAGCCTGGGCTATGTGAGACCATGTCTCAAGAAACGAAAAGAGAAAAAATAGGAAAAAACACTTTTCTTCAAACTGGAGGTATAACTCAGTGGTGGGGTACCTGGCCAGCATTCATGAGGTCCCAAGTTCAATCCCTAGTACTGCACTCCCCCCACCAAAAAATTAAAAAAGTGTGGCTTACTGTGATGGCATAAGTCTTCAATCCCAGCACTCAGAAGGCAGAGGCAGCAGATCTCTCTAAGTTCAAGGCCAGCCAGGGCTACACAGTGAGATCCTGTCTCAAACAAAACAAAATAAAATAAACAAAAAGTTTGGCTACCTCTGCATACAAAAGCAATAGGTATTTACTTACATATTTATTTATTGTGGTGCTGGGGATCAAACTCAGGGCCTCATCTATGCTAGGCAATTCTCTACCACTAAGCTATAGCCTCAGCTTGCATCGAATTTTTATGCTTCAGATAATATCAAAATGTACAGAGCAGGCATTCAACAGAAGAAAAGCTGTCTTCTAAGAAATAAAACTAATTCCCTCAAAAGTCATGACTTGAAGAATAAATAACAGGGTGGGTTATAAAAGCAATCAAAGGACTGGAGAGATGGTTCAACAGTGAAGAGCACCAGCTGCTCTTGCAGAGGACCTGGGTTCGATTCCCAGCACTGACATGGCAGCTGACAACTGTCCATAACTCCAGTTCCAGTGGGATCCAATGCTCTCTTCTAACTCCATGGGCAATGCACAACATGTGTGCACTTATACATGTGCAGGCAATACATTCAAACACATTAAATAAATAAATAAATAAAATATTTAAGGGGGAAAAAAAAGTACTGGCTGTTCTTGCAGAAGACCCAGATTAAAATCCCAGCATCTACACAGCAGCTAACAACCATCTATACCTCCAGCTCCTTGGGATCTGATGCCCTCTTCTGCCCTCCATGGGCACTGCACAATACATGTGCACTTACACACGCAGGCAATACACTCATACACATAAAATAAAAAGAAGCTGGGAGTGGCACACGCCTTTAATCCCAGCACTTGGGAGGCAGAGGCAGGCAGATCTCTGTGAGTTCAAGGCCAGCCTGGTCTACATAGTGAGTTCCAGGACAATTGGAGCTACAGGGAGACTCTGTCTCAAAAAGACCGAAAACAAAACAAAACAAAACAAAACAAAACAAAACAAAAACTACAGGGCTGGAGAGATGGCTCAGTGGTTAAGAGCACTAGCTGCTCTTGCAGAAGACCCGGGTTCAAATCCCATCACCCACATAGTGGCTAACAACCATCTATAACTCATTCCAGGGGATCCAACACCCTCTTCTGTCCTCCACAGGCACAATACGACAGAGTTGCATTTATGTACAAGCAGGCATAACAGTCATACACAGAAAATAAAAATAAATATATATTTTTTTTAATTTAATTAATTAATTTATTTTTTTTGGTCTTTTTGAGACAGGGTCTCCCTGTTACCCCAGCTGTCCTGGAACTCACTATGTAGACCAGGCTAGCTTTGAACTCACAGAGATCCACCAGTCTCTGCCTCCCGAGTGCTGGGATTAAAGGTGTGTGCCACCCCCCCACCGGCTAATTTTATTATTTTTATTTTATGTGTATGAGTGTACTGCCTGCATGTAGGTAAGCGCACCTGTGTTGTGCAATGTCTGCAGAAGTCAGAAGAGGCTGTCGGATCCCTTGGGACTGGAGTTACAGACAACCATCTCTCCAGCCCCCAAAAATAAATATTTTAAAAATTAAAAAAAACATTCTAGACAGTTTTTAAAGTGTTTCCACATTGCATATTTCTTTCTTTTTTTTTTTAATGACTAAATAAACAAATAAATAAATAAATAAATAAATAAATAAATAAATAAATAAATAAAAAACAAAAATTAATTATTTTTTAAAAGCAATTGAAAGGCTAGGCATGGGGGCACATGTTTTATAATCCTAGAACGTGGGTGGTAGAGGCAGAAGGATCAAGAATTCAATGCCAGCCTATGCTACAGAAGACTCTATCTTTAAAAAAAAAAAAAGGCTGGCAAAATGGCTCAGCAGGTAAAGGTACTTGCCACCAAGTCTGACAACCTGAGTTCAATCCCCAGGTCCCACATGTTGGAGGAAAGAACCTACTCCTACAAGTTGCCCTCTGACTTCCAGAAGTACACTGTGGTACATGTATATACATGCATACACAGAAATAAATAAAAATGTAATGTAGGGGGCTGGAGAGATGGCTCAGAGGTGAAGAACACTGGCTGTTCTTGCAGAAGACCCGGGTTCGAATCCGAGCAGCCACATGGCAGCTAAAAACTGTCTGTAACTCCAGTCCCAGGGGATCTGACAGCCTCTTCTGAGCTCCACGGGCACTGCACAACACGGGTGCCCTTACCCACATACAGGCAATACATGTATATACATAAAATAAAAAATAAATAAAAATTTTAAATGTAATGTAATAAAATGTTTTGGGGAAAAAAAAAAAAAACAGAAAAATTTGTCAATGATCCCTTGGGTACTGAATTTTACCAGCTCAAGATAGTTATAATTCTGTGAAGCAAAAACTTCAGAGAAGCAGCCTTCCTATGAAATATAGTGTTAAGGAATGGAAAGGCAGCCTAAGAGAGGCTGAAGACAGTGTTAGAATAGTTTAGGGCTTCCATGACATCAGGGACAGGTAAAGGTAAAGTCAATGAGAGGAAAAGGTATTGTCTTTTTAAAAAGCTTTATATTTTTCCCTGGGCCTGCACAACCTACAGGCCTCTCTCCAACCCGCAGGCCTCTCTCCAGGGTAAGTAGATTGCGCCCTCTGTGCCTTGACTCCCCCAGCCTCATTCACCCTCCCATCTACCCCACCAGTCTCTCCTCCTAGCCTGGGTCCTGTCCCATTCCTTCTCTTGGTGCCCCAGACACCTGGGGAACCACCACTGCTTCCTGAGATCCTTTGCATCCAGACCAACTCAGTTCCTTCTTGGGTCCCCAGTAGCACTCTGGGTCTGGTCCAGCCCTCAGCTCCCTCTACTTCCCTGGGCCTGCACTACCCTGCCAGCCTCTTTCCTGGACACTGGGGCTGACCTTTCCTCTTCCTGATCCTTTGCATCCAGACCAACCCAGCTCCTCAGTGCAGTCCCCAGGAGCCCTTGGGGCCGCTTCCCGCCCCCATCTTCCTTTGCATCTCTGGGTGGAACAGCCACCACCTGCCCTAGACCAGCATCTTTCCTGGGCCTGGCTCCCAGGCCAGTCCAATCCCCAAATTCCTGAGGACAACATCTTTCCTGGAGGGATCCAGACCTTAGGAGAAAGCCTGAGAGCATGTGATCCTCATCTAACTTGGGCCTCTGTGGGAACTCCTGAAGACAAAAGCAATCTGGACACACAGATATAAAATCAAAAGAGAGAACCGGAAACTTAGGGGAACCAGCTTTTCATGCCCAAAAAGTAAACCACAAAGACACATAAAGTTCACAAAAAGAAGCAGACCTAAACTTGAAGGCTTGAGTCTCAAGAAGCAGAACTAAACTTGAAGG